CCTCGTCACATTTATATAGGTTTTCGAGTTCTTCAAATCATATCAGCTTTTTGTTTATTTTCAAAAATCATGATATTTAGTCCTTTCAACAATTTCACTAATGACTATCGATATGATATCTTTTACATTTACAGTTACATGATCTCTTAGTTGATGTTGATGAAGAGAAGACTCATATCCACACTCTTCTACACAATGATACATACAGATTCAAGAACTATATTTAAATTCACATTTGACATTACGTAATTCACAAAATAACCATCAATGAGTATTGAAAAGTCGTCTAATATACTTAAAGATATGCAAAATCTGTACACATTTACAATGTGTATTGTAGTGCATAAGCGATCTATTGATATAGAGAGATTGCATAGGGAGTGAACTTTTGTAATGGAACAACTATGTTTAGAGATAAGGAAAAGTTTTCCAAAAGACTAAAACCTTTTCTGTCATTCATCGATATGACTAATTTCAAATGCATATTTTCTTTTGTCATTAGACTTTTTTTTTTGATCTACCGTCGTTTAATGATAATTTTCTTTGTGTTATCATGATCATCTTACTTTGCTTACGATATTATGCCTTGTTCTGAGGAGAAAAAACAACACGAAAGAGAAGAGAACGTTTCAATGACGAAAACGTGTTTTTTTCTTGCCGATAATAACAAGTAGGAAGAAGAACATGATGACCCTTCTGAGAATAATACTCATAGTGAAAAGAGATGATGGAACAGAGAGTGTTGTTTTGTATCCGATACTTTCATTCATCTTGAAAATTACTTGAGAGAACATTGATTCTTGTTTTTTTTTGAATATAGGTCCTAATGCTTGACGTATCACGTCAGAAAATCTTTACTGATGGTGGATTTATTTCATTTTTATTATATGTACAAAAATTGATGATTAATTAATTTATTGTTAAACTAATTTACTCGTATAAAAATGTGTCATATTATTGAGAAACATTCAAAACCAATTCGCTCCTACAATATATACCGAATACCAGGATGCTAGAAGAAAAAGAAATTTCCATTCATAAGAATACTGATTTTGAAAGATTATGTAAAATTTACTTGATCACATGGTTCTTCAATATCTGCTTCAATTTCATACATGTCATTTGTCAAATTATCTCGTCGATGATTTTCTTTGGCCAAAAAATACCGTAAAATAAGAGCAAGTATTAAAGTAATTGCAATAATTACGGCCGAAATAAAATGACCACGTCGATACATGGGTCGATCACTCACACGGTAAAGCTAAAATCAAATATTTCATTTTGATTTAAGAAACAAGTATTCTTTCAATGATAGTCTGCTTTTGACTATAAATCGAAATCAAACTAATACTTTAAATATTTACCTGAGGTGCTACTATGCCTCCAATTTGAGCTAAAGTCATGACAAAACCAATACTCATAGCTCGTTTCGTATGACCGTTGACATTATTTGTTAACCAAGATAAAATAATAGGAAGAACTGCAAATGATCCACTGCAAGAAACACAACTACCAATATATAATGCTACTTTTGCTTGTTGAGGCAATGTAATTAATAAAATAAAACCAACGAAGGCAACCAACAAGCATACTACAATATGCATACAATGCTCTTTCCAGCGTGATGATGAATAACCGACTACCAAACAAGATATAAATGCTAGAATATATGGTGGCATTGTCAGTATATTATATTCTAGTTTGGAAAGGTCCATATCTTGGATTAATGATGGAAGAAAATTGGCATATGTTTTGATAATGGTCAAAATTCCTGTCGTAATCAGAGCATAAAAATACAAATGCCAACTGGTAAATGTATGACGTAATTGAATAAATGAAAATCGTTTATATGGCATTGGTTCAATGTGAGGTATATTGTCATCATTACGAAGATAATTCAAGAATATGCTTTTCTCAATATTGTTCAACCCTGAATTTCGAAAAAAAAAAATATTTGATTATTTATTATTTGATCTTATAACTTACATTGAACAGTTTCTGGTAAACTATCAAGAAATAGAAGTGTCATAATGCCGAGTGGTATAATTGGCAATCCTTCTAACAAAAATATCCATTGCCAATCATTCAAACCATCCAAACCGTCCATCTTAGAAATACCATAAGCCTAAAATGAGTGTAATTTACACATATCTCTTTTACATACTGAAGTCGTACGAACCAAAATGCTACCGATACCACCAGCCAATGCAGCAGCACTGAAGAATATAGCAATTCGAAATATTTGTTCTTGTTTACGATACCAAAATGACAAATAGATGACAATACCAGGAAAAAAACCAGCTTCAGTCATACCCTTTAATAGACATCTGTTTTGTATAAAAAATGTCAATTTATCATCGATTCAACTTACCAGAAGAAAACGAACGACAATTAATTGTGTAGAATTTTTCACAAAAGTCGTACCAAGTGTTATCGCTCCCCATAAAATCATGCTGATTGACAAATATAGTGTTGGACCAGAAATACGCAACAATATCATATTTGGAATTTCAAAAATCATCTAAATAAAAAATAATATACCAACTATGTTGAAACAATTTTTTTTCTTACATAAGCTAAATAGAATATTGAAACACTCCAATCCAATTTGGATGAAGACACTTGAATATCACTAGAGATATTACTCAGTTTTACTTGACCTTGAATATAAAAATATACCGATTAAGATTAGAGTGAAAATTGTATTAAATAATGCATACCGATATTAATTCGATTGAGATAGGAAACGAATTCCAAAAGGAAAAAGAATGGCATTAAACGAGTATCAAGCCGTCTTATAATCTTTCTAATGCTACCTTTCATACACCTTTGATCAATGATACGATTGTCAGGAACGAGATTGGCCTCCGGTTGTACCACATTCATCTCCATTTCTACTTCGGCACAATGTTGATGTTTAGTTAAATGAAAAAAAACGAATCCGTTATAATGTTAATATAATAAGTATAGTTTCTATACTGACATGACTTTACATGATATTTATAGTCCAGTCTTACTGTATGTTGGAAAAAAAATCATGCATCGGTTTATTTTTAACATTTTCCTTTCAATAAATGTCACTTGACGTCATTTTTCAGTGATAAATATCAGGTCGATGATTTTAAGTAAACAAAACTAAAAATCATTTATGCATTATGAGGTAAATTAGTAGGATATTATTCTCTTTTCGAGCATGACTATAGTAATTCAAAAAAAAAAGAAAATATGATACTTTTAATACGTGACATATTTTTTGTGATGAAAATAGTTTATTTATAAAGGTTTCACTTATTTGAGTCTCTCCTATTTTGATTTGTAAACATAAGAAAATGTCTCATTTAGAAAAGCAGTTTTTCTTCTTATAATTCTATTTCAGAATAGGAAATTCTACATTAGTTAAAAAGATCATAATAAATTAGAGCCATCGTAGATTTCATTTGTGTTTATTTTGAAGTGAAAATTTGTCACACGAATTTTCAATTAATCAGAAAGCTATCATAATTTCTCGTTTTTGAAATAATTGAGTAATAATTTAATATTTCAAGAATCAAAAACATAAACAAAGAAATCATTTTAGATTTTTCTATTCTTATTAAGAAAATTATTTTTGCATAAAAATTTGTTTTAACTTTGTTTTTGACGACACAAAAATGATCATCTAAACATTACTAAATGTATGAAAAACCATGTAAATAATTTGATTTATACTTGATGATTATAAATAGATTTGTTCAATAAATCATTCTTGTTAATAATCAACAAGTCTTTTATCTTTGATTCATATTTACAGGTCTGAATATAGAATGTATTAATATAAATTTTATATGTTGGAAAAAGCCTACATTCATTTACATTATTGATTGAATGCGAGTTGGAATTTCCAACTTGGAAATTTCCTTTCACTTCAAATAAATAATAGCAATCCTATTGTCTTTTCATCTGAAATTATTATATACTATTTTGTATCATCAAAAAACAACACGTGGATCAGTCTATCATACGATTGGCGATGCGTTGTGTGCTTTTCGTTATTTAAAAATGCAAAATAACTATCGTTTGTATGATAGAAAGAAAGGTTTTTTTTTTCACTTAAACATCAAAGTATATGCGCTAGTGAAAAGAAAAAAAACGACATAGGAGAACATGAATCATTAACCAAATTATTACTGATACAATATGCATTTATATATTTGTAATAGATATCGAAACTACATTTCTATAGTTTCTATTATTACATTGTCTACATTTTTGATTATACAAAAACTAATGATTGGAACTGTTTAATTAATGTAAGCGGTTACTGTTGTTGTGTCAATCTTTTACTAGTCAAATTTCATACAACCAAGCACAGTTTGTTTCATCTTTAATCTTTGATAAATTGATTCTTTTAACCCTTTCCAGCCGGCTATCAGAAGACAGGTAGCAAAAAAAGTCTTTTCGTGCATTTTTGTTGCTCCTAGACTATAGAAATAGGAAAAGTTTATTTTTCAGAACCAATAAGTGCTTCGGCATCTAATTGCTTTATGTATCCATTTGGATACATCCAGCCACTAGGGGACAAAAATTTTGAAAAACTCATTTTGTTACATCTATACCTGTAGACGTAACCACAGTTTGTTCATGTTTTGCAGACCAACGCTTAAATATTTGTAGAATGTTCTGAAATTCTTCAGTACGATGCAAAATTAGCTCAATTTGGTCAAAAAATTTCTGAACATTCAGGAACATGCTAGAGAGTTTCTGTACATTCTGTAGTATTCAGAACTAGACTATTACGAAATGTCTAGAAAATCTCTAGAATGTTCCTGAATGTTCAGAAATTTTTTTGGACAAATTGAGCTAATCTTGCACCGTACTGGAGAATTTCAGAGCATTCTACAAATATTTAAGCGTTGACCTGCAAAACATGGGCACACTGTGGTTACGTCTACAGGTATAGATGCAAAAAAACCATAAAATATTGAATTTTGACAGACAAAAAAAAGAGTTTTTCAAAATTTTTGTCCCCTAATGGCCGGATGTATCCAAATGAATACATTCCCATTTTTTATTGTTCAGATTTTTTGAGTAATCCGTCTTAGTAATGCAATAGACAGTAGATCTATGAAGGAAAATTAGCAACTAATTGCCTCGAAGCTAGATTATTTAGAGACATGAAAAAAGGATAATTTCTATACGAATGCTACTTTGGGGCATTGTGGATGGAACTGGTCATTTTCTTAGTGCATGTTTTTTCCTTCTTCTAAACGCATGAAGGTGTGTCGAAATGCGTTACCTTAATTATCAAATTGTCAAAAGATTTGATATCATCACTGTAAGTCAGTGCTTCGTAAAATATTGGCCTAATGTATCAATATGGATACATCCGGCCGGAAAGGGTTAAGAAATGGAATGACTGCAAATAAATATTATACTGAAAAGTAAACATGATTAAGAATATCATAGAGAGTTTTTTTTGTAAATATATACTACACTTGTAAAGTTTGGTTAATTGTATATCTGAGTTGAGATGTAAAATTCTAGTTTCGTTATTACTGTATTTTAGTCAGGTTCATATTATCCAGTATACAACATGTTTCGTATTGACGTCAGCAAATGTCTCAAGAATGAAAACATACGTGGCTATTTAACTGTACCGCGATCAATTTCCTTTATTTGAATTTTTAATGAAGGTCAAAATAAGCATTATCAAAATATTTTATATATTGACCGAAAATCTAAAGGTAAAACAGGTCAGCAACAATTTTTTCTTTCATTGAACATTTCAATGGAACGTTGAAAACGAATAAATATACCTTTTCTAGTATTCAACAATTCAGCCTTACTAAGTGGTGTTTTAATTCAGACAGTTCAATATTTTTGTATTGATTTTAATACATCATCAATAGTTTAGGGAACTTTTGAATTCAAAGTTGCATAAGGTCTCATATCGCAATACATGTATAGTACAAGTTATCTGGA